TGATTTTGTTGTCTTTATTAACAATTTTGTTCTGAGGCAAGCCGTAAGCACTCAGGTTTTGAGAACCTCAGGGCTAATAGGCAAGAAGGTTAGCACTGTGCTTTTTCCGTGTGGGTTTTCTTTTCCCACTAGACAATATTTTTGTATTATGTGTCACCACTTAGAATGTGTTTGACTCATTATTTGAAAAAGGCTGACAGTTTAATAGATGATAAATTCACCAAATGAAATTTCCGAGTATTTTTTCACTGAATAGTTAAATGCTGAGCCTAAACTATTGGCAGAAACCAGCTACTGAAGCATGAATTAATTTCTTCTGCACTTCCAGTGACTCTTGTGTTGTTATATTAAGGATGAATTTGGACTTAAGTTTAATCTCCTCTGGGACAGCTCAATTGCAAAGGGTTTTGAGATGGTTGCTCTAAGAGAAACAAGTATTTCTGCCTACTGTGAGGTAGAGCTCAGTCAGGACTCTTATCTAGAATAAATTTAATTTACCTTTCAGCCCCATGACAGGAAATACCCCATTAGCACGGCAGACCTCCTATTTTTGGTGCAGGTTCTTCCTCATGACCAACCATGAAGCCTTTGCTGCTTGGATGTTTGGGCTGGAGATGGTGAGGAGCTGGAAAGGAGCCCAGCACAGCACCAGCTTCTCGAGTTGGTGGGTGAGAAGATGGGCTCTGAGGAGGTAAAAGTGAGGTATTTGGGGGCCTTTTGCTAGGGAGAGGAAAGACTAGGAGGGACAGCCTTATTCCCTGGAGAAAGGACACGAATGAAAAGTGAGGTAGACATCATCAGGCTGCACACAGATCATACTCTTGCTCAGTCTGTTCTACCAAGCCAGTTCACCAAAGACCATATCCACCCTCTACTCCCAATGAAGTTAATACAGAAAGATAAATGCTGCGTTGACTGAAATCAGGCTACTAATAAAAGAGAGGATGCTGATTCAAAATCCAGCCAGCTTATCTCAGCTAGTGATTGTGAGAATTCTACTTTCCCAACCAGCTCGATTATCGATAAAGGCACAGTGAGTAGCTGGCACTGTGCTGTGCTAGCACTCAACTGATAAATTAATTAAATATGCATAAATCATTTGATATAACAGAAAAACAGTCAGAGTAAGAAAACAGTGTTGTATAATCAGTGTTTCCTGCTTTGAAAATTAATCTCTCTGTTTCTTTGCTCCAGCTTTGCTCCTATATTTGTACTGCAATGGGCTATTATCTTCTGACATTGAAACCATTGGGAATATTTCACAATTAAAGTTTGTTTGTGGGGTTTTTTTTTTTGTAAAGGTAGTACTTTGTTCTAATAAGTAACTAAGGTTACATCCTCCTCACCTTATTCACACAAGTATTTGCATTTGCTTGACTATGGCCATTACAATAAATAGTATGAGTAAGGAATTTAGCCAAAGGATGAGTATTTAAATACCTAAAACAGTTTCAGTACTGCAGTTCTGTTACATAGTAACTCTAAATTAAAATTCTGTTGTTTTATTAAACTTGGACTAAAATCAATGAGGTTGTACGAGAACGGAATTTGGTCCTTCATATTTTGTGCACTCTCCAGTCCAAAACACCATATCGCACATTTTAGATGGAAAAATGCTCATCATATTATCTTCGGTGTAGCGGAGATCTCTATGATTAGAATATCAAAGTTATATCCTGTCAGAGAGATGCTAATATTTTTTTGTTCTGGTGTTAACGTTATAATGATATTATTAAGTTGTATTTTTAAATTTAAAACCACAAGCAGAGTCTAATGATCTCTCTTACACTCTGGAAACCAGGAAAGTAGAAATTAAAAAGTTAAAACCAAACATAGAATATATATATACATATAAGACATAATTTTCTGCCTGAATACAGATTAATATAGAAGTATTATCTTTTGCTTTTTGATTCTGCACTTCTATAAAATCAGACTATTACAGAATAAATTGTAAATGTGGTGAGCTATTACGATCACAAGCTAACAATTCTTTCTTCTCATTCTGATATAAACCAATTGATGTTTTTGTTTTAAAGGCTATCTGATAATTTCTATTTGTGTGAAGGATGCGTTGTACCCCGTTGGATACTATATGAATTGTATATGGAAAGCTGCAGTCCAGATTCCAAGTATCAAGTAAATTCAGCCATCTTTGGAAAGGTACATAGTAGATAGGATATATAAGATAAGAAGCAGAGATACCTAAACAGAAAATCTGATGGTCAAATATGCAGACTGCATATGAAAAAACATTAACTAACCAAGAAGAATGGATATGTAATGTATTATGGTTGTGTCTTTTTAAATGTATTTCCGGTAAGCTTTCATGTAGACACTTTCATACTAGAGAAAAGAGCATTCTTTGTGGTGGAGTTCATTTTCTTCAGGGAACTAGTGTATGTTATACTAGCAAAGATTTTTTTGGCTGAGATATTTTAGAAAGCTTTATGAGGGTAAACGGTGCAAGGTTAATAAGCTCTTTCTGAGGAGCTGATTCTTCTATCCTTAAAAGACCCCTTTGATTGTTACATAATGTTATATTTTCCTTTTTAAATGTACTTACAGAGATTTTTCTCCAAATACACACTAAAAAAGTTGTTACAGAATCATCCAAGCAAAACAAATGCAGATGTAAAACCGAATCTCCTTCACACAGTTCCACTCTTCTAATATATAGAGATTGATACAACCCACAGGGCAATTACCACTTAGAAATCCCAATTGCTACAAACACTCATAGTTGTTTAACTTTATTTAACAAATTAAGGGAGATGGAATGCCTTGTGATTATTTGTTGCTCAAGACATTTTGTTCAGAATTTCCTATTTTTACTGCTAATATTATTCTATTAACACCCACGGTAGGAGCTACTAAGCATTGTTTTAACACAAACCCAAAATAATTTAAATAAAATTTGGCCTGAAATCAAGTTGATTTGTGTGGATAATCTTGGTTTAGGAATCCTTTATCTCAGGTGGATCTAATTTTTTTTACCTGGTACATTAAATCACTCTCAAAGTTATCATTTGAGTGAGTGATCCAGTGTGATTTGTTACCATAATGGATCATCACCCATCAGCCAAGACCATGGGTAGAATTTGCCTGTGTCAGTGTAGATGTCTGCCCTGATGCTAGTCACCTTAAAATCTCTTGGCAGCCAATGGAGAGAAACAAGTAGCTACATATGATTCCACTCATCCTCCTAAATGAGTTATCTTGGGTAGCTCAGATGAATTGTGCCTTGGAACTGCCTGTTTTTCTTTGTTGACTACAGAGTCTGCAGTGACTAGCTTAGACATCTATTGCTACCTTATAAACCACATAGGTAAGATCAATCCCATCCTGTCTGTACACTTCCAGGTGCTCCAGCATGATTGAGCTACCATTTGTAAGCTAAGCCTTCTTGTGGTTTAAGTTAATGCATTTTACTTTTAAGTTGGGACAGGCATGAGTCTGGTCACACAGAAGAGCTCAGCCGATGAGCCGCAGCTGCTTTAGTTTGGTGCTCGCAACTGTTTGCTCCCAGCCTCAACCGATCCAGAGCACAGCGGTGTGAGTTAACACATCCCAAGTGAGAGAGCTGGGGTGCAACTCCCCGATGGCTTGAAACGGTCTGTCCTCCTGCAGCGGGAGCTGGGACCATGCAGATGGTGGCTGAGGAGGGCAGGAACTGCAGTAACCCTGGTTAAAACTTGAAGGTACACATGTAATCTGTTACCACAGCCTGTGGGTAATGGGCTGAGCTATTACTAATTCAACAAGCTATGGTAACCTGACTGCATTATGTGCGTGCAGACTCTAAGGACTTTTGCAGCCAAGCCCTGTGTGAATCAAACTGTGGTGATTTCAGACACTGCTAATCTCATCTGTCCTACCCCTCTATCCAAACACACCTCCACCTCTGTAGAAGAGGCAGTGGGAAGAAGTACGTGTCTCACGCCACTGAAGCCCCAGTTTTATAGGCTGTCCTTTCAGGAAAATGGGATTTTGCTAAAACACCAACACGAGAAAGGGAGCAGCTGGGGTGGGTGCACACAGAAACATACAAAAAACTAGGACCACTCTAGCACTGTTAATACTAGAGGTGCATGTTAGTGTGAGTTGGGGATATTTGTCCTTTTTCAGGCCTTTGGATCAGCAAATGGTTTTTTTGCATGGAGTCTGAGCTTTGTGCTGTTGAGTGTGGACTGTCCTCATCCTCACTAATGTTGTATACTTGATCCTCTCTTCTTGCTATACAGGGAATGTTAGCTCCAGCTGCCCTGGGTTAGTCTCTGTCTTCACAGGACAGCTCATGCAGAATAATCATAGTGAAGTGGATTATTACGCTGACGGTGTCTTATTACTGTGTAGAGCCTAACCTTGACAGATGCTGCGTGACCTCAGTTCACATTTAACCACCGCTGTGGTCAGAAGGTTGCTCGGTGATTCAGGTCCTTTTAAAACAAATAAGTCAGGGTCTATCCTGTGAGTACTCCTTGCAAGTTAGTGAGCAGGTAGGCGAAGTCTTACTTGAATGACTAAGGCTTGCAGGACTGGCAGCGTACTGAAGAATCACGGCACCTTCGAGTTCTCCTAGCTGATATACCCCACCTGACTGTGGGTGGTCTCCTGGTGTGTGCAGTGTAAAACAGATTAGTTTTAAAAAAAAAAAATTACTACCTGAGGGAGATAATCCCTTAAATTACTTAGCTTTGAATCTGCAAAAACCTGATTGAGTTCAGTTCAGCAGTTACCGTTTAAGAGGTAAGAACAAGCAGTAGCCTGCAAATGATGGAAAGCAAAAGAAGTGACTAAGGAGAAAAAAATCTAGCAGATATATTTTTGCACTTTAGAATGAATCTGCTGAGTAACTCTAATTTTCTTTGTGTTTTTTTTCAGCTTATTCGGTTAGTTTTCCCAGGTCTGGGGACAAGAAGGCTGGGCAAAAGAGGGAGTGCCAGGTACTGTTTTTGACTCCTTTGTTTAAACAAGTTATGTATCACTGTTCTAACAACAACAAAAAAAGCTGAATGTCCAGCTCCAGGACTGTAGTATGGCAGCTGAATTGTTGGTTGAAAGTCTGTAATACATTGCAAGATCCAGAGCAATTTGTGATGGCACCAAGTATGCTAAAATAAAGTTAATTCCATGAAAATCACTGCATCAGAGCAGCTTTAGTAGGGCATGAATTCCAGATTAGACTGTTTTTAAAAAAATTAGTCCTCCAATTTGTACTGGTTATTATAGCAGGGCTCCATGAGGCATCTGCCAGACATCACAGCCTTACTCAGAGCTCTTGAGACACCGGATCAGGAAAGTCTGTCTCCAGGATGCATGGGGGTAACAGCCGTGATTAATGTCTATGTTGTGTTTTCATTCTTGCACATATCTGTGGAGTGACCCAGCACGTACTGGTGGTCAATGGAAGTGTTGTAAACAGTTTAAAACCATTTAAGTCAGAGTGCCTCAGTTCCTCCTCCTACATTTCTTTCTTGTCCCTTCCCTCTCTTCCTCTAGAGCAGAGAGTTCGATAAACTTTTATTGCTTCAATGTCCAAACTTATCACACTCTGAACATCCAGACTGGAAAAGGAGATGTTTTAAGGGCATTGAGACACAGTGATTTTACAAACATTGTGAGTGGCTCTGAGACTGACATGCTTGTACTTGATCCACGACTTTTCTCCACTAGTCTGAACCCAGCTTGATCCAGCGAAACAGCAGGTTTGCTGGATGCTGGTGGCCTGAAACCACTGCACTACTCCCCATCTTCCTGGTGACACTGGCAGGGAATGGCCAGCTAGTAGCACCTGGGTAGCAGGGGTGGTGACTCTGCTGCTCGTGAAGGTTGAGATAAACCTTAGAGAAAGTTTGGCAGGTTTCCTGGGTATTAATTTTCCATGACAAGTGGCCTACAAGAAAGTCAGAAAGGTACTTCTTACAAGAGCATGGAGTGATAAGGATAATGGCTTTAAAATGAAAGAGGGTAGATTTAGATCAGATATAAAGAAGAAGTTATTCACTGTGAGGGTGGTGAGGCACTGGCACAGGTTGCCCAGAGAAGCTGTGGCTGGCCCGGTCCTGGAAGTGCTCAAGGCCAGGCTGGATGGGGCTTGGAGCAACCTGGTCTGGTGGGAGGTGTCCCTGCCCATGGCAGGGGGTTGGAACTAGATGATCCTTAAGGTCCCTTCCAACACAAACCATTCTATGACTCTATAACCACTATAGGCCACCCAGTCCCTAAGCTACTGTGAAGGTTTGCAGAACAACTGCACCAAGTTCTTCAACTTCTGTGAGGATATGGGGACATCTGTCTGGTGAGACTCTAGTACCTGACTTCAGTAACTGTTCTGTACAATTCTGTTGCATTCCATTCATTGGCTTAAGTTGTTTGATTTAGAAGAGATCATTCTAGGGCAAAAACTGTAAAAAAGAGTTTATAAAGAGTTTGTGCAATGATGATCTGTTGGGGAAGACAAATTTTCAACAGAATTTAAAAAATAAATATAGCTTTTTTCTTGTTCTTTTTAAAATAGGATGATAATTTGCTTTCAGTGAGGAGTATGAATTATTCAATGACTTGTTCAAAACCATATGATTGCCAGTTCATCTTTTTTTATTATTTTCTAGGTATCATTATTCTGGAATATCTATCAGGGAGAATTCTTCCTTTTACGCACGTTATTGCTCTCTTCTGTCTGAAAAAGATTATCACAGGTTTGGTTTTTAAAATGTTTTAGTCATAAAATGTCACATGACAATCTATATATTATCTGTACATAAAAGTCTGTAAATTGTCTATTGACAGCAATATTATATTTTTCTTATTTTTATACACACTATGAAAGTGCTATGCCATTAAGTGCTGAGCCCTAATAGAGGAGTTCCATTCTGAAAACTCGCGCTGCCTAATCAGACTTCCTTGACTTGAGCATTTTAGCCATGTAGATCTTAAGAGCAGGAATTCCTGCCAAACCTAAAAGAAGGACTTAATATATTGAGACACTAAATGGGAGCTCCAATAAACATATTGAAATTACTTCATGACATTGTAGCACCTTCCTTATTAAATTGTAGGCTGAAGAGACAGGTATTAAAATATAAACGGCTGCACTGTTTTGGAGAGTCCTACATGCAGTTATGCTACCTGGGGTTTTTTACTCCTTGAAACAATGGGGTGTATTACTTTGAAAATACTTCCTCCACTTTTAAAATTTTAGATTCAGAAATTTTAAAATTTTAAATTTTAAAATCACCTCCCATAAGGGAAGGACAACAAGAAATTGTATGAGATGAGTATAAATTGATTTTAAAAATTAAAAGTTTAAAAATAATTGATGAATGTAAGATACTTTGGCAGACTAAAGTGTAGACATGATCATGGTCCTGTTGTGGGCAGGCAAGGAAGAGTTCTCATTGTTAAGCTTACGGTTAAGATAAACCACGGGCTTGAGTTTCTCTATGGAAAAAAAGGAAGGGAAGTGCTGCCATTCCTGCCATTCCCTACCAGTTTTACACTCCCTTTTAAATACACAGGAGAAGAAACATAGGTGCAGCCTATGCCTTGGACTTTGGAGACCAGGCTCATATCCTACTCTCTAGTTACTTAATTGAGTGTGTGCTCTGCAAGAGGACGGAAAAATTATACCCATAGGTTTGTTGCCTTTCCCCATGGGTTTTATAGCAGGGTCATGTTGCAGAACTCCATAGAGGTACAATGGTAAAGAATGGGACAAGGCAGAGGATCAGTTTCAGCAGATGATCAAATGGCAGCTGGTTTTTGTGAGACCAAACAAATTATTCATAGGCAACTCGAAGCTTGTTTCCTATGAGACCCTTCCTGAAGTGATATCCCTCACTACCCACACCCACTATAACCAGAACAGGCCTAAGATCTGACAACTGTAACGGGGAAAGTTCTTGGCCACTCTTCAAGGAATATTTCAGGATGAGTCTCTGGTGGTCTTTCTTCTTCAGGGAAAGAAACGTGTTTCCCTGAAGCATCCCTTGAAAACAAGAGTCTTGCTGGGCATAGCAGGAGAGCTGCTAATTATGGTCATAGAAGAGATCAAAAAGAGAATAAAACATTTCCCTAGAAATGTTCAAGGCCAGGCTGGACAGGGCTTTGAATAAGCTGGTCTAATGGGAGATGTTCTTGCCATAGAAGAGTGGTTTGGAATTAGATGATTTTTAAGGTCCCTTCCAGCCCAAGGCATTCTATGATTCTATGAATTTGAGTTGTTACTCTTTTTCCTCCCAGTGTAGAAAAATGAGGAAAAATCACAAAAACTAGGAAGAACCAAAGAAGCAATGTTGGCTAAGTCCAGGCCAAGCGCAGAAGCTCAGACTTCAGCCGCTGCTGGGAGCCAGAAGCACCACATATGGCAGCAGAGTTTGTGTCCTTGGCCTTCCTCATGGGAAGGAGCCATGTTCCCTGGTGGGCCAGGGGACACACTAAAGCTCACCCTTAATCATACAGGAACCACTGTGCTGGTTGCGGGCCTCCCTCTCCTTCTCCACCAGCTGCCAGAAGTGCCTGCCCAGACATCTACTCCTAAGAAAATGTATTTAATTTGGTCAAACCAAGGCAAAGGAGATGTATTCCAGAGAAAGGGCTGACATCAACCATCCATCTAGTCATCTTGATACAGTTTCTCGGCATAACTTTTCAGATTTAAAAAAACAACACTGTATTCAGACAAAGATCATCTTTCTAGTTGCAATAGACAAGTGTCTTAACTACAAAATTAACTTGTCTGATGCTTCCTTCATTTAAGACAGTTATAAGAAGTCACTAAGCTGTTGCACAAAGCCAGACAGCTGAAATTAGAACAGCTTCCACTCTAATGCAGCCACATGTCCCTGTCCCAAGCCAATGTGCAGGCACAAAACATTGGGGCAGATGGGTGTCACAGTTCCTTCTTAGTGTCTGATAAAGGACAACAGGAAAAAAAAACAACAGAGAGAAGGCAATGAAAAAGCACAAAACACAGGCAGAGAAGCACGAGTAGCACAACTCTGAGAGAAACAATTAGGTCACGTACAAAATAAGCAGCATCTTCAACAGTTTGTTTCCATCTGTATTGAGTTTTGCACATTCTTTGCCAAGGAATAAGAACACATCAAGGAAATATCTAATCTTTACTGTTCTCTCAGCAAGGTTCAGTACTTTTTGAAATCAGAATCAATTTTTCATGATCCCATGAAGTTGATAAAACTGGCAATGGTAAACTTATTTTTTTTTCAACTAGAAAATTGAAATTCAGAAAAAAAGTAATGAAAACTTGAGACTTTTCTACCTGCAGGAACAAATTTCGTTTTTGCAGAGGTAATTGTGTAATTGCAGCAGGGGTATTTAACCCATAATATCTCAATGTTTGAGAGTGTGTTGCTGTGGAAAGTTTGAAATGACAGTGAAGAAAGTTTTTAATACACCATTTCAGTGCAGTCCAAATGCAGCTCTGTGGACCAGACCCTGTTAATGAGATACACTTTTCTGGCTTGTTGCCATTGCCTTCTGGCAGAGACAGGGGATGTCAGAGCAGTGAACGTGTCCCAAATAACTCTTGCGCCCTTCCATGCCTGAATAGAGTCCGACATGCGGCTGCTTTTTCAGTTGCACCTATCTGAGGGGAAGGTGGAGCTGGGAGCCTAGTTGAGAGACCAAGACATCCACCCAGCCCATGGGTTGTTGAAGAAAGGGATGTTTTCAAAATGATGACCCACCTCTCTAATAACTGAAAAGAATATTTCGTGATCACATTGAGAAAGTCAGCAATTGACGTGGGGCTGGTAGTAAGGAAGAAGGCCCATGAAGGAATATGGCAGGTTGGGGAGCTGTGCTTGTTGGTATCATAGAAATGGCCATAAGATTATAATGGTTTGCTTTCGGCCTCTTGATAGTCAGCAGGGCCTTGGATGTATCAGCTGGCTAGGCTGGAACATGTTTGCATGAGGAGTGATGAGGAGTGATGAGGATGTTCTTACATGGAATCTGTGAGCCGGTTCATTTGGAAACCTTGGATTTTTTTTTAAGATGTATTTACCACAGCTCTCATGATGATGTTATGAAAGAAGTGTAAATGAACACAACTGTAATTAATGACGTCTCCAAAAGTATTACAGAGATTTAAGGGAATATGATATTTACTGATTCGCATTACAATAGGATGCTCTCTAGGAATGGGAGCTTTGAGGACAAGCTCTTCCTGGAATGGTCCTTACTCTGGCTTCCAGTACAGCAGTGCTAAGAAAATGCCAGTGAATATTGGTTTTGTAAGAGTTACTTTATGAATCTAGTAATAGGGAAGGTCTGGGCTTCTGACTTTCTAGTGAAGCAAATTCATGATTTTTTAATAAAAAAAATCTAATATAATTCTGGAAAATTAGCTTTTCTAATCCCAGTGTAATCAACACTCATTTTTCCTTTGTCCTTCCCAGTTGCCTCCTCTGCTTGTCTTTTTGTCACCCCCACCACTGTATTTCCCATTTTAGCTCTCATTCCCACCCAATAGCGTCATCCAAACTCTGCAAGGGATACAGTGAAATGACTTGTGATTTTGCTGTCACCCACCTACCCCTTCTCCCACTCACCCTCCTCTTTTATGTGTCCTGTCTTTACCCAGGCACCGCTCTCCGGGGGAAGCCAGCAGCTCTGCCCTGCATCCAAGCACTTCTGTGGGCACTAGGTGAGTCAGAACCTCCTTTTGCTAACAGTGGGAGCCCACAGATGTTAGCTTTCCACAGGTATTTGCCCTTCATCGTCACCGAACCCCTGGCTGGCTGCACCCTTTCTTACACTTGGGTGGGAGCTGGGAGCCAGTCTGTGGCAGGAACCAGCCCACTGGAGGAGAGCGATGCTGAGATGTGTTGCCATAGTAGCAGCAGCAGAAGATACAGCTGGCCGCCTTCTCTGGGAGAGCAGGAGCTGGAAAATATTCATTAGTTTTGTTTCACAGGCTTTAGAAATCTGCAGGAAAGACCCATTTGAAAGAAACGTTATGAAACCTCACTACTTACTCATTCTTCCCTTTGTCCAGCTGCCATCTGGTATCTAAAATACCTGGAGAAAGAGTCAGCAGCATGACCAAATATGCCCAACCTGAATGTTGTGCCAGTTTGGTTGTTTCACTGGATCACCACCTTCATGGCAGGGAATAGGGGCAGAGGGAAAGGTAATTTTCCAGTTGGCAAAGTTCAATCCTGTGTTCAGCAGAGACACGAGAGGAGGCATTTTCAGTGGCTTGAGTTTCCAAGCAGAGAAGCTGCTATATTTTGTCCTCTGTCCTTTCAGGATGTCTGGTGGTACCCTGGTTTATAATACAGCACAGCAGTGAAACCCAGCAGTCAGGATCTGATAAGATAGCCTGAGTGTTGGCAGTCACTAGTGGAAGCACATTTTCTACAAAGCCTTTGCCTGTCACCCTTCAAAACAGCCGAGTCCAAAAGGACCCTGGAGTTTGAAATGCCTTCACAGACAGCGAGCAGGTGTCAGCAGCAGATGGGGGCTTGACTGGAGGAATCCAGCTCCCACAGCACGTCCCTTTTATGAGCAATGTTGCCTCTCCCTCTTTTAGGATTAGCCTCAGCAAAGCAGGCAGGGAGAGAGGTAGGAGATAGTAAAGCAAGCAAGCAGCCTATTGTGTCTGCATCCCTGGCTTTTCAGCCAAAAGCCAGTGGTCAAGTCTTTGCAGGTCTGGGTGAATTCTGACCATGTGGAACGTCACGGCAGGCTTGCAAAGTACGTGAGAGAAAGTCAGAAAAAACCAATGCCATCTAAACTGATATAGGGTGCAGAAAAAGTAAGTACTATGACATCAAAGCACAAGGGTCATTATGCCTTCATTTTTGCATCTTTATAATCATTATCATTCCAAATGAACTGCAGCTACAAATGCAAACACACACTTTTGGTTCAAGAGGTTGGAAGACATTGCACTGTTAAATGGTTAATTATTTTGTCATCTTTACAATGAATGGCTCAGTTTTATCTTAAAATTGAGAAACTGATCTTTGGTGTCAGAAAATCATGGATCTGCTGAGGATAGAGAGAGGTGTTTGTTTCCCAAATACAATGTTCCAGCCTAGTGCACTCAGTCCAGTTTGAACTCATTTTCTTAGTAAATACAGAATAAATTGGTAGGGTTTTAAAAGGTTTTTTTCTGTTGTATTTTTTACCACAGTGGAAATGCCTGCAGTTCTGGAGATGCAGCTGGTTACAAGAGCTGTAGCGAAACAGTGAGTTTCAAATACATCAGACTTAAAACAAAACATCTTATCTGTGTGTTTAATTAGAACTGCTATACAGTATGTTCTGATAAAATATAGTTAATGCATCGTCTTCCTCAAAGTAAGTATTTAGTGGGATTCCACTGAATGCTTACTTCCTCCACTCCCATTTCACCTGGTAGCTAAATATTTTTGTTGTCTTGCTGTCGGCTCAGATACTTCTATCTGCGCTGAGAGCGGAAATTGTGGGTGACAGCCCAGGTTTTGAGTATTAGGGGAGTTAGTGGGGCACAACCTTCCTTGCCTGAGGCCCACGGTAACAGACTCTCATGCCACTGAGCCAGTGTCTTTTCAACACGCTCAAAGTTTATTGCCACGATAAGTATTTAAAAAGGAAAAGATTAAGGAAAAAAGAGCTCAACCCCTGCTCACCGAAAAGGATAGCGATGAGGCTGACCTGCGGCAGTTCTCCCATAAGTGTGCTGTCATGGGATGGCTTGACGCTGGGGCTGTTGGAAGCCAGCCAGCAAGGCATGAGCCACAAACTTAGTTGTACCAAAGGGAGGGAAAAAAAGAGAGACTAGATGTCTGTCTTATTTTTACGGAGCACTCGAGTGCGGTAATGAGTGCTCTGAAGCGGATGTAATGACAGCTGACGAGAAATGTGCTGTCACCCCAACAGTAGAGCCAACTATCTGCAGCCTTATTTAGAAGGTTACAACTGTGACATGAGTGCTATAGAAAATGTATGTGGAAGATATATATAGCATTAAATGTTCACTGCTTTTGAAAAGAAACTTGTGTACTGTTTGGGATTTAAATATCTAGCCAGTCGTGCTTGTTTCTTTCACTCATCCTTACTTTCTGAAAAAAAAAGGACAAGCACTCCTTTGAAGAGATCATCTTATTAAAAACTTCTTGTTATGCAATCTCAAGAAACTACTTAATACCTTTAACAGAACCGACACGATAACTGTGATTTTTTTTTTTTTTATTGTTCAAAATAAACTCTGATTCATTGAGAGCAAGAATTTGCACTGTTCTCCACCTGTCACTTATCTGAAGACTGAACAAGAGAGATTTCAGTACCCTTGGCCTGAATTCAGCACATTCTATCTTTGCGAGCAAGAACCAGGGACGAAATACCCCTACGAAATGGTACGTTCGAGCAGTCGGTCAGCAAGCAAGTTATCTCTTTTGTCTGTGTGATCTTTTAGTATCCTCTTTTTGGTTACTTTCTCCAGGTGGTGCTGCTTGCCAATGAGTACTACAGCCATTGTCAGGATATCTTACACATGGTGATGATGAAAGAACTTGACAAGGTATGCCTTTGCTTTAATAACACTCATTCTGATTACAGCAAACAACTCTAAGGATAAACTTGTTTCTGTGCAGCTTATTTACCTGATGGCTTGGTCTAATGTAGATAAACATTTCTAGACAAAAAGAGCATTCAGTCAAACTATTTGGGAACTCTTAATTAACACAATCTGCTCCAAGAATCTGAGTTTGTAGCCCAGCACAAAACACAAGGTCATGGACACATTTATTTTGTTGTATGACATATCCATAGCACAGTTCTTTGTTTCTCTCCTCTTTCTTACACTACCTTCAAGGTTCTGCTTGTTGCCTCAGGATGCTTCCACTTATGCTGGAGCCCCATTGGGATGGGGCTGGGCGAAGTGCTCAGCTCCACAGTCATTCTTTTTCCTCTGTGCTTCTGTGTGCTGTTTTACTGAATTATGCTTCACATTTACAAGGGCAAAATCAGTAAAAATTCATAAAGGACTTTGTGCGACAGGTGAAAGACTGTATCATGTCATTCTGGAGGTCTCTGCAGCCTGAAAAAGTAGCACTGATGTCCTTGCCAGATGTATTCCAGCTGTTCAAAAGCTACGATAGGCAGCTATTCAAGGTACTGTAGACACTCTTGTTTGTTGTAATTATGTTATGTGTTTATGTCTTTTTGGTAGTTTTACCTGAGGAGAAGGACCAGCTGTTTCTTGTGTGCTGTACAATGTGATTTTCATTCATAGCTCAAGTTTGTTCTTTGGCTTCTTCTGAGACAATACAGTATGGCTCTTGAAAGAAGCAAGTGGAATTTGCAATAATTTCCATTTTGCTGCTATATATTCCTTCTAAAGTCCATAAAATCAATGGAGTATGCTGTTATAAATGTGGTCTTGTGGTTCTGGCATGAGGTTATGTGCCTGATATTTGAACTGATAGCTGTTTTCCAAATTACGAGAGCTGTATTTCCTTTGAGAACAATACTGCACTTCTTGGGGACATTCCACATAGAAATATGCAGTTATCTGATCAAAATAATTTGCTTCTTATTTACAGCCGGTCATTAAGCGGTATCTAGTAATTAATTCAGGAAATCACGTTTGTTCTTAGGACCTTTTTTCTTCTGCTAATAAATGTAGCTTAGCTATTGCTTATTTGGAAGAAAAAAGGGTTTCTTTGCATTTACATATAAACTATCAATACAATTTCATTTCATGCTGTTGCAAATATCTGTAGTGCACCAATTATGTACAGCTCCATTAATTTGTATTCTAGGAAATTGAAAACATTCTACTTCAAGATTTCCTGGAGGAGGTGCCTGTGCAACAAATGACGTCAATCAGATCATTCAGTGAAAACATTGGACTTTGGCTGCTTAATGCTTTGGCAGGGTTTCCATTACTGCTCCAAACGTCCAAATCCAAAGGTACGTTTGAGTAATAAAGAGATTTTAATGAAAAAAGTATTTGCTTAAATTGGACAGAAGATTGTGTTACGAGACTCTCAGACAAATTAGTTTAAAAACATTTTAAGCTGATATAACTTTGATAGTAGTGAGGAACAGAGTTAGCTGGGATATGATTAAAAATAAATGGTCTCAGAAAATGTGAGAGAACAAATTTAAGCCAAAATTATTCCCAATTCATGGTAAATGAAAGTGTACTTGAATCTTTTAAAGGATCTATCTCTTGCCATGATCACTCTGGCTGTGTAGATACCTGAACAATACAAAGTCTGCCCTTTCAAATTTAGATGTTGTTCTGTTTCTTCACCTTGCAAGTGGGTTTGTGCTGATAAATTAATTAATGGCTGTAGCGCAGTTCAATGTAAAGGGAAAAAAAAAAGCCATATTCCCACAGCGAAACTATGTCTGTCATTAAAGGATATATTTGTGTTGCTGAAGATTCTGGCTAAAATGTAATGTTTCTCAGTTGCTCATTGAGTGAAGACCAACTCCTCAGTGACAAAGCAGGTCTTCCATGTAGACAAACAATCGTATTAGCATTCGTATGGTCAAGGAAGACTTGCAGACAGTCTTAAGTGTGGCATTTCTTACATTTGAATGTTTAGTAGTGTATTTGAATGTTTAATAGTGTATGCATGGGAGTACATGTAACTAATCAGCTGCAACCCTTTGTTTATACATACTAGTCCTTCTGTTTTGTACAAACTTCTGTGAAACAGGAACCTTCCCTTGAAAACCATTTCCTGCCTACAGAAGTTTTCAAGTTGCTTATTACTCAATTTTCCTGTAACTAAGACTCAGTTATTTTATATTTGATTCTTAAAAAGGATATTCTTGGACCATACTTGTAATAATTACAACACATTATGAGCAGAAGAAAATAGAGCCAAGGAAATCAATTCCTATTAAGAGTGCTGCAGAACTATAGACACATATATGTGGAAATGTTAAACCCTCTAAACAAAATGTAGGAGGTTTAGAATTAATGTTGCTTTCATTCACCTTAAACCGTACCTGTAACAGACTATTAGTCTTGATTAAGAAGTATTTAACGTAAAAAAAAAAATCTGAAATATCTTTCCTTGTGTGTCATGGGTTAACAGATCTGCAGTGCAGGAAAAGTGGTGACCTGGGCAGTTTCTGCTTGCAAGCTCTAAACTGCAAGAGCCCCCAGCCCAGCTCATAATGCTGGCTCAATGCCCCCTCCTTTAGCCTCCCTAGGTCCCACAGGGATCGACTTTCTAACTTCAAAGATTGGTCTTCATTAACATCTTTTAGACTGTAAAATAATAATTATGCGAAATATCTGCCTCTTCTTCTTTAACAGAAGTTGCATTGTTTAAAAAAAGACTCAAGAGAAAGACAGACCTTTCTAACATGGCTAAGGTATGTTCCAGAATCCATGAAACAAAAAAGCTGGGCATCTCATTCACAAGGTCTGGACGTTTTATGAGATGCTCTATTGTAGGATAATAGCAGCAGCACCACAGGTGTTCTTAGTTGTGTACCAACCACGGTCCAAATCACGCTCACCCTCCTATCTGTCTCTTCCCACACTGTAAGTATGCTTAGGGGGACTTTTCCTTCCCCTGGATTTTGTGAAAGCCTCTCAGATACAGTCATTGGTCCCCTAAGAAGAGAACACAGTAGCTGGAAGGGTTAGATGACAGTTTCCAGTATCTTTGTCCAGCCATGCCAAAATCAGTCAGATAGCACATGCCAGGGTTATTCTAAAATTGTTTTTTATGCAGCGTCGTGACTACTGTCTCTGACAAGTGTTGCAGCAGCCCGCGCAAGGGAAATCACTAATATACTGGCTGCAGAGAAGCAGCATTGAATTTACACCCTCAAGATTTAGGGCAAGAGAATTGCACCCCCATCAGGGGAATTTCTCTAGCAGCAGCCCTTTGAGCTGTTTAACTGGCACAAAATGAACCTCACAGACCTGAGAATCTGAGTCAGATCTACATTTGCAGCTGAACACATTCTGAGCCTGATTCTTTTTCATGCTGACGAGCTCTTGGCACTGTTCTCACAAGTAAATGGTGTTGCTACATTCTCCAGCGTCTGTTTAAAATACAAGGGAAGGGCAAAGGAGTTCCAGTGCACCTGATGATTAGTCCCATTGGCAATTTAAAAACAATGGGTTCAATAAGTTAAATTATGTAAGTCTTGTAAATGAGTCTCCCCGTAGTCTTTTGGCGGTCACATAGCCTCTATTACAACTTCTATTAAAGATCTTGCCAAAGCCACGGATACTGGGCTCCAGTGAAACAGGGTAGGAAACAAATGCCAGCTAAACATCCTCCTGCAAATGCATCCTCCCATTCAACGCACACCAGAAGACAGTCAGCTGAACACCACAGGTGTTTAAAATTTTCAGCTTGTGCAAAACATGCAGATGCTTCATAGAATCGTAGAATGTTTTGGGTTGAAAGGGACCTTTAAAGGTCATCTAGTCCAACCCCCAACCAGGGGACTAGATGACCGTAATGGGGAGGTGGACAGTCTATAGAAAGGACAGATGAGTGTTTTACTCAGCTAGACCTGATCCTAGGCTTGTGTAAACTTATATCCTGTTTCCCCTGTGACCCTCGTCAGCTGCTTGTGTTGTTGCCATAAGGGTGGCCAACATGAAGTGCATCTGAGTAGAGCAAGTGATATCTCACTCCTCCTCCATTGTACTCTCCTGGCTTCCAACAATCTGAGATAGTATATATGTCTTGGTATTTAATAGTTTGATTTTGGCATGCATGACATATTGGGGTAGCAAGTTCCAGCATTTGAGTATTTCTTGTGAGAAAAAGTACTTTATTTTATTAGCTTTAATATTTCTGCCATTCTTCATGCAATTCTCCCTGCAAACCTCCACCACATCCTTCCTCAGTTATTTCTATCCAAACCTGAAGTTTATCTCATCTTCTCACATAGGAGTCGTTGGTATTTCTAATAAACCTTCTCAGTTTTCTCTGTCTAAAATGCACCTGGAATTTCAGCCAGAGACTGATGGTCGAAGCAGGTGAGAGTGCTCCTAATGAGACGTATTAGAGATGTGCAGCTGCAACCTTTGAATGGTGTAACCACACCATCTCTTGTAGAGTACTTTGCAATAATTCAGCCACCTGGTGAGAAAATAGGAACAATTTTGGCAGAGTAAGCAATATATATAAAATAAAAAAAAAGCGACTTTCCCATCATGTGTAGATATAGCAGGCTGACAGCTGCTACTACCTGAACATGCAGAAGTAATTAGAGCATAAAAAGGTGCAAATTCCTTGTGAGAAAGGAATGTGAATATGATGCCTGTCATTTCCTGGGGCTGATTTCTGCCTCTGGTAAGCTGACTGTTAGTCATTTAGAGAATTATATTTCATACAGGGAAGTGCAATGGCTAAAAGGATCAGTCTAAAACACTGGGGCATGGAGACAGGTGCCGGCAGAGTGTACAGAAGATCTTGCCCCTGGTATTTCCCAGCCTTCGGGTCATGAGTTGTTTTTGCAAGCAGCAACTCTTCTTCTGACACTAGAATCTCCAAGTAAAATAAGAAAAAAACTTTGTCTTTAACTTAGCTGAATTGGATTTCTGACTGGAAGGCAAAGTGGTTTTGGTATTTCAGTAAAGCTGGCAGAATGATGAAAAAGAAAAATGGCCAGATTGGGAATTATGTTTCCAATGCAAACAAATGGGCAGCCACATTCACTGCTGTTTGTGGAGTCATGGTAAGCACCTGGTGAATGGGACTTGTTAAAGTGTTTATGAATCCTGAAGTTTTCATAAATTTTACAAAAATTATTTTTCTTCTGAAAGACCAAACTGGACATGGTTATTCATATAAAAATCCCAAATTCAACAAAGGCTTTAGAATCTTACTGACTTCAGTGTGGAAGTGAGAGACTAAATGTATAGATTAACAACTTTTAACAGATTCAGGTTTAATTTCCTTACTCTTTGCATCATTTCATCAAGAATCTGAAGCAATACTGGTTTATACTAGTAATTACATTAAAAAAAAAAAGAAGAGATGACGATCAAATGGAAGGCTGCAAAAATTGTTTGCAGTATCTGTGTGAGTAATACTTTTTGGGATAAACATGAAGACAGATTCATTCACAAATGACTCATAAGCAGATAAATGGGATAAAATCCCAAATAATATTATTTTATCTAACACCATACTTACGGTATTTTTACCTTCTCAAAGGCTTGGGCAACATGAGAAAACTTACCTTTGAATATAATTGAAACACATACTAAGGACAGATAACACTGAGGGAAAGTCAGCCTTGATATGCCATTCCATGTTTCAGACAAAATGCCATTATTTGATGTAACTATAATAACTCTAGGCAAAACCAATTGCCCAGATACTTCAAGCATGTTAGCCTTGTCTGCTCTATCACAGACAACAACACAGACCATCATTGAGAAGAATATCTTCCAGAACAAAAAACTCTTTAAGACAACTCAAAATTCATCTTCTTTGATTTTTAAATTATTTTATTCCCCCCAATTTGAAGACTGGTTATATAAAGTCTGGCAGTGAATAAGGGAAGCTTTTTGACTGAGTTAAGGGCTTGAGAAAACGAAAGACATTAACCATTTTCTTATTATCTGCAGACAATGAGAACAGTCTTGAACAGCAACAGGGAAGTCACTGTTCTGCGATCAGACTTGCATGCCATCATCAATCAGGGATTTCTGCATGTGCCTGGAAGCCACTTTCAAAGGAAGCTGAGGAATCCAGAGGAGCTACAGAATGACATAGGACTCAAATGTAATATTTTTTTTGCTATATTTCGTCCATCCACTTAAGCCCTTGCTTGCCGTTTTTAAAGCTCTGGCATTTCCTCTTGTTTATTCATGGCATCTGCCCTAATGGGAATTGCAGTCTTGCTCTAACCTGAGGTACTGGAAAATAACCAATAAAATTGAGAATGGAGCATGTAATATTAACCTTTTAACTTTAAATGTTAAGAATGAAAAGGTTCCCATCCTGACACTCTCTTAAAGTTTTCTAGGCAGCAGGATGGGGGGGTTGTGTTACTAAATGGTGTATCTTCTAGAAGGTTGACAAACAGGGATATTAATTTTTTACCTTTTTCTTTGACCAAAAAAAATGTTTTGAAGAGTTGCATTTCACATTTTCCTCTGTTATTAAACAAAGTACACAAAATCATTTCTTGTGGCCAGATTTTAAAATACTGTGTGCTGAACTGGACGAGGACTATTGGCCTTCAGCTTTCCTATCTTTTTGCTGCATTGAAGCCTGAGGAATCGACGTGCTGCTGTAAACCATAAAATACACAGTTTGTATGCAGCCATGACACAAGGCATTTGCCAGCTTAATGAAAAGGGATGGCAACATAATGGCTAGCTAATTTTTAGATTAATGGGCTGCCATTTAAATTATTAGCAAGAGACAGGCAAGTTTTTGGACTAGGCTGCACAGAGAACTGACAGGCGGAAACCTCAGTTCTGTGTTCCTGGCCTGCCACAGCCTCAGTTCCTGACAAGGGATGTGCCACAGCCTTTCCGTGACTGCTTTCAGGGGAAATAATAATTTGCCTTCTTCACAGAACCATCAGGAGAACCATTTAAGTCATATTTATATACATCTCAAAATCAAGACCATTGCGCAAAATGCTTTTGTTATATTTGCTTATTATATGAATAATGATCTTACTTTTTCCAAGGTGGTTTTATTGCATTCTCTCTTCTCATCACTTTTCCAAACTGTTGTTTGTAATAAGCAAGGTTTCACAGACCTTATCTACATGCCTTCTTGAAGAAAGACGTTTCAGTTAGAAGGGTAGGAATTCAGAGATGTGCGATAGTGTTGTACTGTCTGGCACTGAGTGCTAGGTTCCAGTCTTTTGGGCAAATAGCTGCACTGGTATGTGGCAATATTATATATATTTCTGCTGGTCTACAGAATATTCCACATTTTCTGTTATTATTTTAAAACTGTTTTCTCCCCCTCAACAGATAAACTGTTTTTTTTTTCCTCAACCACATAAAAAATAAGGAAGTTGGTATTGCATATAACCAAATTCCAGCTTTCGTGTTGGAAGTGTGCATTCTTGCCACCTTTGTCATGATGGCTAGGTCAGTGCAGATATGGTGGAAATGGACATAAATGTGAAGTCTGACTGATTTCAAAGTAGGGTACTATTTCTCACTAAAGGCATAGTATAAATATATTAATCAAAAATGCTATAAGCAGATGTGTTAATATATTTTAAGATAAAAGAAAAAAGAGCTAAAAATTGCATAAACAAACAAAAAAGCAAGCCAATCACTTCAAGTAATTATCTCCCTTCTATATTTTATAGGTCTGAATGACTTAATACCATTGCTGGCACCTTCTACAGATATTCGGGTTCTCCTGAACTCTGTGTCTTCAAATCTTCAGGCTTTTGTCATTCAGGTATAAAATTAATTTAATAATCTCAGAAACAAAAGAGTGATCACATCATTTATCCTGCTACATGCTGACTGTCACTAGTCTGCAGGAGCTACGCTGTACACTAGCAACCTGACCAGACTGCAGATTTGCATAAATACAATTTATGCATGCTGCAGAAAAAGAGGGAATTAATTGGCATACAAAAACTCCATCTGTGCAAACAACTACAAGCATACTTCTGTGCATATATCCTCTTGGGTGGTTTCAATATCTGCTCTCACTTCATAGACACATATTATACCAATCCTTAATGAACTAAAATTCAGAAGAAAGATGTTAGTAAAGATGAAGAGAACACTTCATGATTACTGAAATTGTTGACTCAAGAAACTGTTGACTTTTAGCAGATGATAGGAGAGTGATAATTTCCAGTACAATGTCTCTAGCTCTTGTGCAAAATTCAAGCATGATCATCCTTGCACATGCACCTTTCTGTAGGACACCAATTCTACCACCCTGGTTCCATCACTGATTCCAAATTTGCAGTAGCCTGATGATACCACTCCATTCAGCCAGTTGCCAGACCAATTAACTTGAGTCTGGGCAGTTGTAAAGTGTTTTTTGGGGTTTTTTAGCCTTTCTGATTCTTTTTTTTTTAATTAACAATAGTACTTTACAGTTCTGTGATGCCTTCATCTCATAGAATGCTCAGCTACCTCGTGGGATGGTATAGAGAAGATGAAGTGGGATATTTCCTGGGGATTCACAGTTATAAGTCATAAGGCAACAGACAGAAGTTGCAGCAAAGAAAATTTCCTGTAGATAAGGAAAAAAAATCACCAGGAGAGTAACTAGGCATAGCAAGAGGTTACCCAGAAAGGCTATGGAATCTGAATCCTGGAGGTATTTAGAACTCAGCTGCACAAGTCCTGAACTAAGTTGACCATGTTTTGAGCAAGTAGCTGGATTAGATGATGTCCAAAGATCCCTTTCAACCTAAGTTCTTCCGGGTTTCTCACAAAAAACCTGCTTGCTCCACCTTTGTATGCCATTTGTATAGGGAAACAGTCTGCAAAACAATAAGGAATTCTTTTAAACAACTTTCTGATAAAGCGATTTTTTTTCTCTATCTGCAGCCAAGTAGGAGTAAAGAGGAGTTTAGAAAACTGGCATCAGATTTCCAGTTGAGATGGAACTTTCTACTGAGTGCCATAAGCAAGGACATAACCCTCAAATGCGCAAGCAGTTTTGGTAAGCAGGAGCTTTGAGACTCACACCTGATACCCGACTCTGTGTCCTGAGATGGCAGAGTCACTGGATCACTTTAGCTGACATAAACTGGTGTCACAGTCCATAGTGGCATCACTTCTTCCTACTCCCTTCCTTGCATCAAGCAGTACCATTTGTCTGGTGATGTAGTGAGCCAGGTCAGGAAAATGAAATGGTTAGTTTTCAACCAGATCTGATCCAAACTCTAGGAGAAACACAGGGGAGGAAAGCAGGAGCGTGCAGCTGGAGAAAGTGGGAAGGCCAGGACTCCCTCTCTCTGCAGAAGCCATCATTTGTCTGTGGAAATACAGGGAAGAGCAGCCTGAGGTGTGAGCCTCTGCTCTCCCTTCCTCATCCCAGTGGAACTGTGTGATGAAGAGCTAATATAAAAACTATAAAAACTCCAGATCTCATGAGTGATAGCTCCAAGTACTCCACTTCTTTTCTGCATAATGCAGCCAGAGTAGAGCCACTGCAATAACTACTTTCCAATAAGGCAGTTACTTCCTCTGACAACAGCTATGGGTTTCTTTTCCTTACACCTTTCACTGACACGCATGTTTGCCTAGCCAGCAGCAAGTCTGTTTAAGGTGTTAAACTAACTGAAAATGAGTCAATCCTTTAGCTGGGTTAATTTTCTCTATGTATTAGGGCTCTGAGCTGCCAAGCATCAAATCCACCCCACAGCAGTACAAGGCAAAAGAGATGAATGGACTGTGCGGTCACATTCACTCAAAGTGTTTTGAAGTGGTACAACCATGTCTTGAATCAGTTCAGTGTCTTCCATTTCTGTATTGCATCAACCCTACCTGCCCTTGTCTTCATTGGCAAAACCTCCCAGAGGCCCTCTCGCTATATTCATTCTGCAGAAATGCACTGTCTCCTGTGAGCAGCATCTGATCCCAAAGTCTATGAACTGCTTTTTAGATTTTCAAAGGAGCACCTTAGTATTTTTTTCCTCTTCTGTTGGATGGGGCTTCAAAAAATAACCAAAGAAAACCTCATTATTTTCTTTGAAATTCCCCTTCAAAACCATACTTTTCGTATGTTTCCTACAAAGACTTAACAAACGGGTGTAAGATTGTTGTGTTTTGTATTCTTTTGTATTCTTCCCCTGCTAATGTCAGTGTTTGTGCATGTATGTGCACACTTCTTTTCTGCATCTACCTGCAACCTTTTGCCTTATATTTAGATTGCAAACTCTCTGGAGTGGGATCACAGTTTTGTTCTGCGTCTGCAGGCAACGTGGTGCAGTAGGGTCCCTTATTCGTCAGCTGCTGCATTACAGTAATAATAAAATAGTCATTCCTTTCTCTGTCTCCAGAGTTCTGCACAAAACTCTCCAATGTTACATGCAATATCTTGAGCAATGAGGAAATTAGGAATGAATTCCAAGAACAGCACTGGAAGCATAATGTTTACTGAAATCCCCAACGACAATGAAATCCTCTTCCCTCTTTCCATCACAAGAAGCATTTAATGAATTGCCTCCCTGTTCTGCAGTTGTCAGTGCGTTGGGGACACAGCTAATGGAGAACATCCCTTCCTCTGCTGAGCCTTCCTTAAACTAGTTACAAATGATATTTTCATCCCACTTGTGACAGTCTTTCTACTATACTTCGATAGCACTAAGATTGAATTTATTCTCACATGAGAAAGTTTAAAAATATCTTTAAATCTTTCTCTCTGATGCTCCAATTGACTTGATCATTATTATCTTCTTTCTTAATATGTTTGTTTCTTTAAGATGATGGGCTGTATCATCCAACAATGTCCCTTCTTTCCTGTGTTTCTATTCTGGTAGGATTTCAAGTTTTAGTGGACAAGGCTGAAGCCGTTATGTTAACAAGCCATCTGGTGTGAAAGTTCTGTATTCAAGGTCATTGCTTTTCAGAAATTTCTTAAATCTTGGCATTTCTTGAAGGAATGGTGGGCAGTTTAAATATGTAGCATCCACACCGAGGAAACACAATTATTTAAGGAAATGTGTGAGTGTCATGTTAATGCAGTGTGCCTCCCCCCAAAAATAAACCACATATGAGTGACCAAAACCAAACTTAATTCTGCCTGGGGCCCTGGCTTTGGAGCTTGGCACATCTGGTGTGCATAATACGCTGGCATATTCACACCTCTGAATTTAGGAGTAAAAGTCAGCTTTTTCCAGTCCAGCCTCCAGATGGGTGATACTCAAGTGTGACTGAAGGAACTGTGCAGTTGCCCTTACTGTGTGGCAGCAAGGAACAAGTGGGCTATAGCAGCCACGGTTGATGGGATCTCCACAGCTCTTTCAGCTCCACCTCCTCTCCAGCAAATGTGTTTCTACACGTCTCTGTCACAGAGCTTCACAGCAGCTCGTACATCTCCATTGCTTTATCGGTCTCCCCTTCCGAGGCCTTTAGGAACATGTTGCTGAGCTCATGCTGGATGGACAGTGGCCTGTGTGTTCCTCTTTTACATGCAAGCTGCTTCAACGTACTTCCTCTTCAAAACTGTGTCCCTGTGTGTTATCCCAAGGAGTAATTGGAGTGGTGGCTTCTGTTTCATGCTTATTGTTATTGAATGTATTGAAAACACATGTAAAATTGTTAGAAACACTCACAAACTCCTAGTGTCAGATCTGTAGAGTTCAAACTGTGACTACAAAAGTCCCTTTCCCTGTCCCATAGATAAACAAGTTCTTCCACTTACTTTGCTATTATTTACAGATGCACAAAAGGACAAACAGCAGAAGCAGCAGCTTCTCAGACACATATAACATTGAAATAACCAGTCATTTTCACTTTTAAAGCTCTGTAAACCCTTGGTCATTCATGTAAATTGTGGTTATCTCCATGTTGATGTCGATGTAAACATGTTTGTGGGATGCAGAGGTTATGAATTGTATGATGAATTTCTATGTGGATTTCTGGCATGGAAGAAGATCTCCTCTTTATTGTAAGGGCTGTTAAACAAGGTATGATTCAAAAGTCAGTGGCCTCAGTGAATCCCTCTTGGATTTTAGCAGTTATGCCCCAAGCTGCAAGGTAGGTCATTTAGTGCCATAGGTAGAAGACATAGAGACATCTGTAGGAGCATTTGCTTGGAAAGAGGTGGAAAGATTTATCTGCAGAGAGAATGGAGATTATATGTAGTTGTTGGTAAGCCTTGTAGTAGCAGTGAATGTAGGGGAAGAACTTGAACAGGAAAGCAAATAAACACAAGTGGACTTTCTTCTATAGCTAAAATAAGGGGAAAAGACTTTTGCTTACATTTAAATTCTACAGTTTGTACCTTTTTTGCTGTGGCATTTGGAAGTACATAACTTTGTAAGTAGTATTTGATGACTGCTAATCTGTCACTTCATCACTATAACAAAGCTCTTCAAAAAAGAAGACATCATAAAGATAAGCAAAGAGGTTGTTAAAATTATTTTTGTTTTTCTTTAAATCTAGGAAACTGGCATTTGCTTAATTTGCTACTGACGGATTATGTGGCTCACATTTTCCTGTCCTATATCGAAGAGGAGGGAGATGAAAGTTTCTGGATTGCAAAGCAAAATTACTCCCCTGTTCTGTTGGTTTATGAGCCCAGCCATCTCAGTAGCTATGTTGCAGAGGAGCAACCTGAAGTCAATTCTCCACAAAAAGCTCCCATAATGTTGATGCAGAGCCAGAACAATTTTGGATTAAGCAACGTTTTTCCAGAGTTCTGAGTTGTTTGGTGGACACAGCCACAGGCAGCAAGGTGAAATAAACATTAACTTTAAATAAAAAATAATAATAAAAAATTATAAATTGGGTGAATCTGGAGGGATCAGGAAGAGGGTGGTTATTTGGAGGGTTTTGAGTGTGTAAAGTAGAACTAATGGAACTTAGGCTTGCATGAAGCTCTGTCCAATGTCACCTAAACCACAAAGCATCCTCCATATCCTGACCCTATCCTAGGATCCTACCAGGGGTTCTTAATCTCCATGCCACCCACCTCCCCATTGCTGCAGTCCCCCAATTCTTCCCTGAGGTTTCCAGCAGACTTTTGGTGCTCCTTCAGATTCCCCAGGCATCGTCTAAGCAAGAGCAGCCGCTGCTCTGCTGGGCTGGGAGCAGCTTGCAGGCTGACTGACAAACTAGCCACATGGATTTATTGATCGGAAGAGAGAGCGCATGGCTTGGTCTTTTCTCAGTGCTGGAAGCACAGAGAGGCTCTTTCCTCCACCTCCCTGTTAGCTTCGTCAAAGGATGAAGCTTGGAATTCTTGAGACCTTTTTGCTTCAGCAAAAACTGACTTGTAGTCAGTCCACCACTTCAAACTTACTAGCGCAAGGGATGACACACAGGTAGAATACAAGGTAGACTCTAAATCTTCCTAGGACACAAGGCTAAATATAAGGACATACAGGAACATGGAGCAAGCCTCTACACTTAATACAAGTGATGAATTAGATGTTCAGCTGTTCTTAGATTTCTCTTCCATGCAGTAGCAGCACTTGTCGTAAATCTCATAGAACATTGTATTTTCCAGAAAACAATGTTGGATAAATGTTAACGGCACGAAGAGTCATGAAAGGTGATCCTGCTATCCAGTTACTTTACTGCCGAGATGTATTCAGCTTCCATAAACTAGGACCAGGACTGGAAATGCACTGTTTTAAAAACATCTTTATTGGTTATAAAGACCCTTGGTGGACTCTTGTTTTTTAACATAAGATATGCTAAAGCTAGCTCAGCAAGTAAAATTGGAGGGATGAAAGCAAGCACAAAGGGGTCAAACCAAATATCATTTATACACCTGATGGGCATGTTTGACAGCCTTCGCTCTTTTTTGAATGTAGTATAATGATTCATCCTGCCATAACACCTTGATGTCAAGACCAAACCGAGCCAGGTGCAGGCTATGAGCAAGGAATCTCTAAACCACTGATGGTCGGAAATTAGGAGATAAACCTATAGAAAGCTTACTCAGTATCTGCTCTGCTTCCTATACTCTTTCATTATGCTGCCCATACGGGCTTCTGTACAGTCCACTATGCTGTTTACAATGCTCTTAGACACGGGTCAGCAGACAACGGTTTGACCCAGGTTTGATCTGTGTGAATGATGTGCCTATAAATATTGTGTACGTGAGCTAAAGAACAGAGCAAGGCTGATGAGAGTGAGGGATGCAGCATGTCAGAGGCTGGGTGTAAAACATGAAACAGGGAGTATGATGACTTCAGAGAAGATATGGTGTAAGGAAGGAGACAGTGAAAGACTGGGAAAGTGCAGGAAGAGATTAGAGATCCAAGATACCAATAGTGGATGGATTCTACCAGTTCATGTGCAAGATGCTGATAATGGCAGGATCAACAAGAGATTCTAGAAAGAGCCTGCTGATGCTGTGGTTCAAGCATTTGCAGTTCGTGAGGGATCTGAAAAACTTGAACCTGCAGCTCAAGGGGGTTTCAGGAGCTGTGACAGGGTGAGGAAGCACTACTCAAGGCCTACTTGTGTCCTTCAAACAGGTGGTAGCTCCCAACTCAACCACTACAGGCTCCTTCGTTTTGGGTGTCAATGCTAATTCTACAGGTTGCTGAAAAACATGGTTGCCAAAAGCAACTCCGTTACCCACCGATTTGTTTGTATTGCCATCTCTGTAGATCCTCTGAATAGATTCCCATTGCATGAGGATTTGTGTTCCATGACTTTTTATCACCAAAAATCATCGTCGTGCTGTGGGGTATCTAAACCCTCAGGAGCCTTAGCAGTATCCACCAGCCACGCTGCTGTTTCTTGGACCACATTTCTGCTGCCTGACATGTCGCTCTGTGCATCACAGTTATATTTCATAATTTTTCCTTGTAAGTCCTTTACCTCATGCAGCTTCTGCAGCTCTCTGCGACCCAGTGTCTTTCATCAGTTCCCATCCTCCACTCTGTCCTCTGCCAACAGCACCAACCTCCGTATCTTTTTCATCTTGTCCCACAAGGCATTTCTATGCCTTCTCTACAGCCTGTTATTCTGGGGAAAAAAAATCTGTTCATCACACCTCCACCCTCATCTCATTGAAATCAGTGCTAAAACCTCAGTTTTGCTATGAAACCCTGGAAAAATGAGAGGGAGAACTGGCAACAGAAATCAGAAAAGAATCTCCCAACCTTGCCCTGATATCAGCAGCATCAATATGTGTCTGTGGCTTAGCAGATCCCTTCATGATCCTTTAGTCATCACCTTCATTCTTCTTCTTCTTTCCCCATCTGTTTTCGGTCCTCCATTTCTAGTTCATGCTGAATATAAATTACACTCCTCAGCAGAGAGACCATGTTTTTCTATTTATTTTGAACAGTGCAGCACATTTCTGATTTTTTTTTAAACATATATACAATTTGAAGCATGAAAATAATTGTTAATAATCTTGAAAACTGAATACATTCCAACTTGGTGACATCTCCCAAGGAAAACATGATTTTTATATGAAACAATGTAGAGGGTGAAGAGTGAAACAATACAAGATTTGAATACCCTGGCTTAACAGAGAGTGCGGCAGATGAAATGTTATATAGCCAAATGCGCGTACCGTGAACTAAGAATTGTTGAAACCAGTGGCAGTAACAAAGATGCTCTGAGTGAGTTGTAATCTATAAAACTGCAGCTCAGAGAGCATTGGGCCAATCTTTATTCCTTATCACAGAGCTCGCAGTCACTTTTTCTCAGCACGAATAGCACATTTTCATCTAGAAAATCCCATTCTAGGCTCTCTCTCTTTGTTCACTTGTTACCAAATTAAAATCCTATTAAACTGTGCACCTGCAGTGGGTTTATCTGCAGAGCACCATGCTGTAGCTTTTAATCCAATTCCATACCTTCGTAACATACAATAAACTGCAAATCAGGGCTTGGAGAAACGGAGGTTATGTTGTGCATAGCTCTGTTGGCAGAAAGCAAATCAAACACTTCGTTAAAAAGGTGGGAAAAATAAGGATGTAGTTAACTACACTTAAAGGAATGGTAAGTGTTCATCTGACTGGTCCACATAATCCAGGACACAGACATCAAGGGAAATCATTAATGAAAATGATCAAAAAATGAGAACAAAATCTTGACCCTGCTTAAATTCAGTGACAAAACTTCTGCTGATTTTAAGAAAGCCAGGATTTCCATCATGAAAAAGCAGTCTCCCATCAGAGGGAGAGACAGGCTGGGACTATTTTTTTTGAAAAAAAATAGGAGACCTTACACGAGACATACAAAGTGTGAAGGATGTATTAAAAAGTGGATGTGGCCTCCTATCAGACCTTTGCCACCCTATGAGGAAACCCAATGTGTATCTCCTCTTGTTGAGTTAATTGATGTAAAATAACGTTGGGTATCCATGAAACACCTCAGGTTCAGCATTTTTAGGAGGGAACAGAGATTTTTAATTCAATACACAAATTTACAGTTCCTACAGTCAAAATATTTCCATCTTTCTTTTCTAATTTTCAGTGCATCCAGGTAATTTTGTAAGACAGAATTACAACTTTTACTACGTTGGATCTCTGCGTTGGAAGGGAAGCACTTACTCAAAAAGATGGGCAGATGCTTTTTTGCCTCAGATGCACAGCAAATCTTCAGAGAATGTCAGCCTGCCTTGAAAATTCTTTATGCTAGACCATTCTTACGTTTTGACTTGAAGAAATACTGTTTACATTCTCTTAAGTTTAAGATATTTCCTGGAAATACTAAATTTAAAACTGTGCTAGCAACGCAGTTATTTTAATTTGTTACATGATTTGGTTGTTTGACTTTGTTTGAGTAAGTCTTCAGAAGAAAATAGGTTAAATATTTGTGGTTTGGTTTTATCTATTATTTCTTGTATTTTCTGTCCTCAGTAAAGCTGAAGGCCTACCTGAAGTCACTGTGATAAACTTATCTGGAAGCTACAGAATAGATGCATGACTCTGTGTCAATGCTTCTTTATGCCCCCCATGCATAATTTAAGTGTTATATTTATTGCATATAGAATTTAGCACTAATTCCTATGTCTTGAGAAATTCCTGTTTTGTCTCCCATTTCTGCAGGATACAAGAGTCAATATCTCACACGTAATTCTATTAACTGAAATAAAATAGGTTGTATACAATGTTATTGATTTGTTTATGTTAGAAACTAGGCTGTCTGAACTTGTTCTACTGGCAAAATACAAGCAAAAACTCTTACAAAGAGAAACTCGAATAAATTTTTATGAAATATTATATAAAGAGAATGAAATTTGTCTTCTGCATACATCAAATTGCATGAGGAAATTCCCTAAAACACTAGGAAAACTGAGATTTTAAATATTTTGAAGAGCACATCTGCAGGGAGTTGGCTGGGCCTGGTTGTTATTTCAAGAAGAGACAACTGCTTCATTATTTTAAGAAGGGACATTTCCCGAACTAGAGAAAAGCACTTGTCAGGAGCTTAGCAAGCTTTCAGCCATTTCAGTCTTGGAAATCTACATTTATTTTCCACTTACATCTACATTCTTCAATCTCAGCTCAAGCACTGAAGTGGGAATCAATATTCAAAAGTATGGTTACAGCAGATGTAGACAAGGCCATGTGCTAAAGGAAAAGGTAGTAATGTATTCAATTTTGCTGATAAGATTAAGAGTTTGGTGGTGAAAGTATATACTCTGGGGAAGTGTCATCACAGTCGGAAAAATTCATTTGGCCCTTAAGGCCCATTATACTCATTTTCACTATCCTTCAGTTTTTTA